AAACATTTTCTTTAACAAAATACTTAATCGGAAAGTATATACCCGGTATTTCCGGTGTATCTACCACATATAAAATGATCATTTTGCTTTAGTTTACATTTTTTCCATTACCAGAATCATGTAGCAGACGCGTCGGCCGATGTTTCTTGTCTCCCGGGTGACGTCACTACCAGCAACCAATGGCACGCTTTTTCCGTTCCTGGCCTAACCTTAGTATATTAAAGAACCTTGGGTTAAACCTACCAGCAACCGAGTTTTAAAGTCCTTGAACATTCAGTACGAGGTTCGAATCCCGCTAAAGGGCTGGCTGCATGTGCGTTTTCGTGGTTTTCTCCATGTATAGCTTGCATACGAGCCAGTTCCCTCAGAAAGTCCTCCACGAAGGCATCTCTCACCTTAAACAGATAGCTCTCGTAATCACATAAAAACGAAAAAAAAAAGTTTAGGTTATCGGATTATCCTCCTAAGAGGAGCGATGCCCTAGTGGAGAACTTTCTAGGCAAAGTGGCATATTCAGGCTGCACATGAGAAAAACTATGAACACCAACTATACAGCCAGCCCATTCGCCTGGAATCGAACTAATTGGCCATTGTTGGGCTAAAAGTTTACCAGAGAGGGAGACAAAAACTGCAAAAAAAAAAAATAATAATAATAATAATAATAATAATAATAATAATTCCATCAATAAATTTTTTATTTAATCGTGAGGTTCACAGTAGTGAATCATCATCTACATTTCGTGATAAAAATAGTTTGTAATAATTTTCTTTAAGATTTCAAACTTTGTCAAAATCGAAATACTGAGAGGTGTTGCACTTGAAAATTTTAATAAAAAATAAGGAAGTTTATTATTATTTATTTAATTATTATAAAAATATTAAAATATGTTTAGTTAATTATTATAAAAATCTATGTACTTTTCCTCCTCTAAATGCCAAAGAAAAATTTAATGAATAAAAGAAAGCTAATAGATTGTCGTTATTCAAGTTTTGTCCTTCTTGAAAAGTTTTAGCAATTTGTTTGTTTTAAGTAAGTTATTTAGTGGTAAATTCAACAAATTAAATTATTTGAAATAAATATCAGTCTGAAAATTTATTTAATAGTTAAGCGATTAATGCTTTTGAATAACAAAGTATAATTAACAAAAATTTCTTGTGTGTACCAGTCTTTAGACTTCAAGCAGAAAATAGATATAAATTGGAATTTTTTCCTTCCTATTCCTAATTTTTTTGACATTATTATTGCTTATGTATCGTTTGATAAATATTTAGTACATAAAATTTAAAATTTCATTAAAAAAATTGTTTTGTTAAAACGAGATTTCATTTGGAAAAAAAAGAAAAGAAAAGAAAAAAAAAAAAAAGAGAGAGAGAAAGAGGAAGAAAATCGACTCTTCAAGTTGCTTTCAGATCGTATATTTGGCCCGCATGAAGTTTGAGTTCGAGATTACCGGATTGCGCAATACAATATGCAGAAACACGTACACAGAGCATGCAGAAACACAAAAACACATCTTTTATTAGACTTCGAGATGGGAAGCGAATGCTTCACTTGCTCCCCATCTGCGAACTCCTATGATAGTGTTATCTTTCTTCTTCATCTTCTTCTTCTTCTTTTTTTTTTTTTTTTTTTTTTTTTTTTTAATGAATTAGATGACAATAAAAACTTAACTATCCTAAATTCTGGATTATGAAGTTTAACAGAATTTCAGAATTCGAACTTCTTTCCTATGAAAAATAAATCAATTAATTAATAAAATTTTGGACTTCTAGGATTCTTTACGTACAGAATATACACATTTATGGTATATGATTTAAAAACAGTTTTCTTGCTTCAGCTTTTCAATATATGTGTTAAAAAGTGTTTAAAATATATTCTCCTTTTGTGAGTAACATTTCTTGTAGCATTAGTATCATTTCTTGCAAAACAGAATTAAAATTTGAAAGTCCACATATTTTTTAACGATGTTATTAGAACAGAATTTTGTAGTTATTAATATTCTCATTCTGCGAGTACTTTAACAAGCACGACAGGACTAAAGCATTAATTTATTTTACCTTAAAAATTAAAGTCGCAAAATTTCATATATCCAAGAATCACTTACAAATCCAGTTTATATCAGGACAAAAGGCAAAGGGTAAAAAACGGAAGACAAGAAGAAAGAATAAACATGTGGTGTCTGTCGAGATTTTTTTCCCCTATACATTTAAATAAACGCAACAAGAGTATTACATAACATCTACCTTCCCCTTTTCAAGAAGGACAAGTCTTTAAGAAAAAGGAAAAATCCCCAAATTTTCCGCTCATTTGTAGTAGTAGCATCTGCTAGACACAGCTGAAAGGGTGGCTGCCTACTTGTTAAAACCGTATCCTCGGGGTTCATCTGCTTTTAGCTGGCAGACGACCGACAAAGCAGATGATTTTCTAACCCCTGGCACGTGTTGAGGTGCAACCGACCGGAAGTTTCGCGACAAACGTCGCGTGCCGGATGCTTTATTTATGGTCGAAAATTTGCCTTCAGAACTGAATGCAATTTGATGGAATGGTGTTGCAACTTAACGACAAGAAATCACGCTTCGGAGCTTGAACCGGTTCTTCTTGTCCAATTAGAACGCAACATTTAAGTCTCAAAGAGTTATGTCGAAGAAATCTGTTGAACTCAAGTGAACTTTCTCGGCTACTTGTTTTATATTTATTTTATATAGTCATCTGATTATACCTTTGAAAGACTTGTTAAGCCTCTTAAGGTGCCTCACCTTTCGCTTAGTGGATGTTTATTAAATGCATTCAACATAGTCAAATAGTGTTGGTATGATGTCCGTTTGCTCTTATCATCGCTAATTAGGTCCTAAAGTAACCATTAAAGTACTGTCAAAGGTAAACAGATGGCTGAATCGCTGTTTATTGCTAGATTGAATTGAACGTTGAAAAACCGGCCATGAAATTTGCTCAAGCAAATGTAATCTAAACTTTAATTAATATTTCTTACAGTAATTTAAAGTTTCGACTTTTATAATGTAAAGATGTAAGAATTGAAGCTTGCGGATAAATAACTTTATAATCTAGATAAAAAAAAATCTAAAAAGTTTCAGATTTTAAATTACGACCAAAAAGGCCTTTTTTTTAACATTTGTGTGTTACCTTTATTTATTAAATATCATGATGTTCTTTGCACTTAAACCATAAAATTCAGTTCAATAGCAATATCGCAAATTAATTTTAAAATGAGCATATCTTTAGAATTTCGGATACACAGTCTCGTGCGCTGAAGGTAAAAATATTTTTTTCTGTACAACGTTGCCATTGGTCGCTTTGAAATCGTTGAGTGTGTTAATCAAAAATTCGTTAAAGTTTTACAAAATATGAAATCGATAATAAAAAAAATTCCGAATTCCAAATTAGGGTTACCAGATGCCCATATTCGGTGAAAGATTACGTTATTCGAAATTGGATGGCTCTAGGTACGTTGTTTTTTCACAATGCGAGAAACATACTTTACATTTATGCAGATTCTCCATTACTTAATTTCTTTAAATAGAATACAGGGCGATAATATTTGGTGGCAATAATTTTAAAAGTGAATAAACGCAAAATGCCAAAACGAAATTAATAGTTCTTCTGGACAAATTGTCCCTTTGGTATAATTATATATTATCTTTATAAGTAACTTTGTAATTTAAACTAACGGTTTGGGTGGCGGCCCCCGAAACAATTTCATGCGCCCGAAAATATATTTCAATTCTGCATTTGTTGCAAAGATTTCAACATTTTCGTTATTGAACTCGGAGTTTACATTATGTTTACCATTAAAACCAACATGAATAATGCACGGAAAATCTACAAATGAGGCTAATTAATGTATAATTTGATAAAAATTTTATTCAAAGACCTGAAGATAAAGTTTTTTTTTTTTTTTTTTTTTTTTTTAAATTTTGGTACTTGTCAAAAAAATTAAATATACTCAGTTACGAACTTTTGCGCTAAAAATAATCACTTTGTTTGGAAATACATTTATATGTGTTTCCAAACAAATACATTTATTTTTATCTCATATGCATGAATATGTAAACAGCATTTTTTTCACACTTCAAAATTAGTAAGAAAAGAAGCCGATTGACCAATGAGCATCTAGAAACCGTGATGAAAACAATTTCCAGTATTTCTCTCCAAGGCTACAAACTTCATCAAAATCGAAACGCCATCAAGTGACCAGGCAGTGTAAGAATAAAAGAAGTTTATAATTATTTACATACAAACACGTATTTTTATTTATGTGTAAAAAAAAATAGCAAATAAGAGAAACATACTAGGTTGTCCTTACTTACAATTCAAGTTTTGTCCCATTTTGGAAAGTTTTCATAATTTGTTTATTTTTAATTTAAATAAGCGTAAGTTATGCAATGATTAATTAAATATAATTAAACTGTCAATATACTTGAATAACAAAGTTTAATAAACAAAAATATCTTCCATGTATTTAATTTTAGATTTCAGATATAAAATTCGATTTTCCCTCTTTTCCGCTACTATTATTATTGCTTTGTTAAATTATTTAGTATGTTTTGGTAAACATTTAATAACCGAAATTTAAAATATTTTTCATTTTATTAATAAAAATTTGCATTTAAAAACAAAATCTGGCCTGTAGTCTATTCTCAGATTGTGCATTTAGCCCACATGTAATTTGAGTTTGCGAATACAAATCTAAAAGGTTATATTAAACTTACTTCGCAGTCTGTTAACGTTGCGTTTGTTTTTAATTTAATCTGCTTTACATTATGTGAGAATGCCTCTGTTTTGTCAAAAAGAACTTCATAAATCGGATTGAATCTAATATAAAATAACTTCACACGAAAGGGATACTTCATTTTTGAAGATAATTTAAACAAAAGAGAGAATTTTATTTACTTACTTACATATTTACTTATTTGAAATCTTACATATTCGTATGAAGAATTTAGAACTAAAATATTAGAAAATTAAGAGATGCGAAAGATACCTTTCAAATAGTATGTTCCTTCTCATTCAATGCTAAACGTTCCGTCGCAAAGAAGTATTTGTTGTAGCGAAAAACTTTCACTACGTCATTCTTTCACTAAATAAATCGCTCTTACAGAATCACAGCACTCTTCCCAAAGAAATGCCGCAAAATTTTCTCGTGCAGATGGTGTTTACACATTTTTAGAACTATTTTGATAAAGATTAAAAAAAAGCAAATGTTTAGGAATAAAATGATGATTGCTTGTTATTTGAAATCAGAAATATCGTCTGCTAATTTTAAACTGATTCTTCTTTCAAAATGTTGCATGTAAACAAGCTGTGGATTGAAGGATATCTTTTTACGCTTTCCGAAGAGAAATATCTAATTCTATAACTCAAAAATGTTAGAAAACGACAGGTATTAAAATATCTTATTGAGAAAAAAAGTAAAAACCGTCAATCATTAATCGTAAGAAAGAAGACTCCAAACGAATCACCGAAAAAATGTACAGACGGGTTTCTAATGTTTCAAAAATTAAAAAAATTGTTCGTAAATTAAACTTAGTACCTTTCTTTCATATTTTACTATATCTCACATATATTGTTATGTAGAGAAATTACCGGATAGCGTTATAAAAATTAGGTGAATGATTTTTTGATTTATGGAAATTTAAATTTTATTTTGATTCTGAATTATTTAATTTAAGGCTTTAATTTTGGGGAGAAACAGATGCTTCGGGAAATATTATTTAGTATAAATGAATATTATTTATTTTCTTTTATTTGTAAATCTTGTACAAACTTTTATTCATTGTGAAAGAAGCAGGGAAAGGGAGGCAATTTTCGCCAAGTCATGATTTCGCGCGCTTTAGAATGTTCGAGAAAGAATTTTCATTGTTAGTTGACCTTAAGAGAGGAAAGTACGTGACGGAAAGGTCAAAGGTTGCTACTTGTCTTTCAATGTAAGTCATTCAAGTTTTTGGCGATTGAGGGTCCGGTTGTTGGCTAAGTGAAGAAGGGCGCGCATGCGCGATCACCCTTATTTCCGCATTCTGAAGTTGAAAACGAAGATTTTGCCATAATTAAGGGGGCGATAAGTGAAGCCATAGTGGGAGCCCGTTTGGTGAAGGAGAAGAAGGAAATTTGAGTTGGACACACTTACTTTTGGCTGACTCTCTGACTGACTCGCTGATTTTCGGGCTTGCTGGACAAAATGTAATTACGAAGCGGGATGTTTTCCGGCGGGGAGCGGCAAATATGCTCCCCGGCCGCGTTTGGTTAAGAGGCGAGACACACTTTCTCTGGACTCACTTACTCTTGGACTCGCTGACTTTCGGGTTTGCTGGACTTGTGGACGTTGCTCTTGAAAACTGGCTTGAAGAAAATTGGAGTTGGATTCTCTCCCTTACTGACTGGTGGGTGGAACTTACTTGGGACGTTGCCCGTGAAGCTTGCTCTTGGGATGAGTAAGAACAGGCGAGCAGTAATTTCCTAGCAACAACGTTTCTGACCGGCGAAATTTGAACGAGTTACCTGCGTGTTGACATAGGACTTTCAGGACCAAGCGGATAGCCGTCCTGGGCAGCAGTGCTCCTGTTTCTGTTCTACAGTAGTGAAGTGGAGTCTACATTTTTAGAACTTAGAATTAGAATTTAGAATTTACTTACTTACATATTTACTTATTTGAAATCTTACATATTCGTATGAAGAATTTAGAACTAAAATATTAGAAAATTAAGAGATGCGAAGATACCTTTCAAATAGTATGTTCCTTCTCATTCAATGCTAAACGTTCCGTCGCAAAGAAGTATTTGTTGTAGCGAAAAACTTTCACTACGTCATTCTTTCACTAAATAAATCGCTCTTACAGAATCACAGCACTCTTCCCAAAGAAATGCCGCAAAATTTTCTCGTGCAGATGGTGTTTACACATTTTTAGAACTATTTTGATAAAGATTAAAAAAAAGCAAATGTTTAGGAATAAAATGATGATTGCTTGTTATTTGAAATCAGAAATATCGTCTGCTAATTTTAAACTGATTCTTCTTTCAAAATGTTGCATGTAAACAAGCTGTGGATTCAAGGATATCTTTTTACGCTTTCCGAAGAGAAATATCTAATTCTATAACTCAAAAATGTTAAAACGACAGGTATTAAAATATCTTATTGAAAAAAAAGTAAAAACCGTCAATCATTAATCGTAGAAAGAAGACTCCAAACGAATCACCGAAAATGTACAGACTTTCTAATGTTTCAAAATTAAAAAATTGGTAAATTAAACTTAGCTTTTTCATCTTTTACTATAGTTAAATAATTGTTATGTAGAGAAATTACCGGATAGCGTTATAAAAATTAGGTGAATGATTTTATGATTTATGGAAATTTAAATTTTATTTTGATTCTGAATTATTTAATTTAAGGCTTTAATTTTGGGGAGAAACAGATGCTTCGGGAAATATTATTTAGTATAAATGAATATTATTTATTTTCTTTTATTTGCAAATCTTGTACAAACTTTTATTCATTGTGAAAGAAGCAGGGAAAGGGAGGCAATTTTCGCCAAGTCATGATTTCGCGCGCTTTAGAATGTTCGAGAAAGAATTTTCATTGTTAGTTGACCTTAAGAGAGGAAAGTACGTGACGGAAAGGTCAAAGGTTGCTACTTGTCTTTCAATGTAAGTCATTCAGGTTTTTGGCGATTGAGGGTCCGGTTGTTGGCTAAGTGAAGAAGGGCGCGCATGCGCGATCACCCTTATTTCCGCATTCTGGAGTTGAAAACGAAGATTTTGCCATAATTAAGGGGGCGATAAGTGAAGCCATAGTGGGAGCCCGTTTGGTGAAGGAGAAGAAGGAAATTTGAGTTGGGACACACTTACTTTTGGCTGACTCTCGGACTGACTCGCTGATTTTGGGCTTGCTGGACAAAATGTAATTACGAACGAGAGGATGTTTTCCGGCGGGGAGCGGCAAATATGCTCCCCGGCCGCGTTTGGTTAAGAGGCGAGACACACTTTCTCTGGACTCACTTACTCTTGGACTCGCTGACTTTCGGGTTTGCTGGACTTGTGGACGTTGCTCTTGAAAACTGGCTTGAAGAAAATTGGAGTTGGATTCTCTCCCTTACTGACTGGTGGGTGGAACTTACTTGGGACGTTACCCGTGAAGCTTGCTCTTGGGATGAGTAAGAACAGGCGAGCAGTAATTTCCTAGCAACAACGTTTCTGGACCGGCGAAATTTGAACGAGTTACCTGCGTGTTGACATAGGACTTTCAGGACCAAGCGGATAGCCGTCCTGGGCAGCAGTGCTCCTGTTTCTGTTCTACAGTAGTGAAGTGGAGTCTACATTTTTAGAACCAGTGTCAAGATGAGCCCGGCCGACATCAACGCGGGATAAGATAATATGAGTCCTCCACTTCAAGATGTCCCTCAAGATAAGTTTTATTTTTTTTTTTTTGTGTGTTTGAACTTTAGGCAAGTTTTTCAAAAACGTCCTTAGCAGAAAAAAAAAACAACGTCGAATCTAAAATTTAACTCTCAGGCCATAAATTGTTTCCCTTTCCTTTCTTTTAAATCACCAGAGACAAACCTTAAGTTTTTTTTATGAATTTAAATGAACAGACTCTCAGATGAGGTTAAGATTTTTCTTATTGTGTTGTAATTGAATAAACTGATATTTAATCTGGAACCTCTTACAGTATGTTTTCTTTATATATTTAATATGAACTTTTCCTTTATATCTTGTATAGGTTTTATGTTTTCGATCCTCTCACGGCGCGGTCCCGGAATGCATTTTTTTCACAACGCAAAAATGCTGTACACGTTTCACTATACGATTACTACCTTTAACGGCAAGTAGGTTCATATTTAACATTTAACAATATAGGAATTTCAGATATAACATGGTACCTAGAAGTAAAACTATTTAACCTTGGTGACGAAAAATTTCTTCATAACATTGGTGCCGTGACCAGGATTTAAAGTTCAAACAAAACAAAAAAAAAATATAAAACTTATCTTGAAGGGACATCTTGAAGCGGAGGACTCTTATCTTATCCCGCGTTGATGTCGGCCGGGCTCATCTTGACACTGGTTCTAAAAATGTAGACTCCACTTCACTACTGTAGAACAGAAACAGGAGCACTGCTGCCCAGGACGGCTATCCGCTTGGTCCTGAAAGTCCTATGTCAACACGCAGGTAACTCGTTCAAATTTCGCCAGTCAGAAACGTTGTTGCTAGGAAATTACTGCTCGCCTGTTCTTACTCATCCCAAGAGCAAGCTTCACGGGTAACGTCCCAAGTAAGTTCCACCCACCAGTCAGTAAGGGAGAGAATCCAACTCCAATTTTCTTCAAGCCAGTTTTCAAGAGCAACGTCCACAAGTCCAGCAAACCGGAAAGTCAGCGAGTCCAAGAGTAAGTGAGTCCAGAGAAAGTGTGTCTCGCCTCTTAACCAAACGCGGCCGGGGAGCATATTTGCCGCTCCCCGCCGGAAAACATCCCGCTTCGTAATTACATTTTGTCCAGCAAGCCCGAAAATCAGCGAGTCAGTCAGAGAGTCAGCCAAAAGTAAGTGTGTCCAACTCAAATTTCCTTCTTCTCCTTCACCAAACGGGCTCCCACTATGGCTTCACTTATCGCCCCCTTAATTATGGCAAAATCTTCGTTTCAACTCCAGAATGCGGAAATAAGGGTGATCGCGCATGCGCGCCCTTCTTCACTTAGCCAACAACCGGACCCTCAATCGCCAAAAACCTGAATGACTTACATTGAAAGACAAGTAGCAACCTTTGACCTTTCCGTCACGTACTTTCCTCTCTTAAGGTCAACTAACAATGAAAATTCTTTCTCGAACATTCTAAAGCGCGCGCGAAATCGCGCGACTTGGCGAAAATTGCCTCCCTTTCCCTGCTTCTTTCACAATGAATAAAAGTTTGTACAAGATTTACAAATAAAAGAAAATAAATAATATTCATTTATACTAAATAATATTTCCCGAAGCATCTGTTTCTCCCCAAAATTAAAGCCTTAAATTAAATAATTCAGAATCAAAATAAAATTTAAATTTCCATAAATCAAAAAATCATTCACCTAATTTTTATAACGCTATCCGGTAATTTCTCTACATAACAATATATTCTTGAAGATATATATAGTATATGTGTGTGTATGCGATTTTTTATGTGGTCACCAGGTATGTTGTGAGGCCGGTATGTTTCGGATATAGTTAAGATTACGGTATGTTACGGATTAGTTAAGAATACAATTGCAGTATTCTACTTGAACTTGTAAATTTTTATTTATTTATTTTTTCCTAATTTGAATGTTAGCTTACTTGA